GGCAGAGTCACAACAGGCAGCCTTTGCTAGAGCAATGCCAAGTGGGAACATGAGGTCAGAGTTGCAGCAGAGAAACCCTATCAGCACCATGTCTAGTGGAGCCATGAGAGCAGAACCACCATGGACGTGTGGAGCTATGGAGTGGAATGACAGCCTGGGAGAGCTGAAGTGTGGCCTGCAACCAGGAAAGCCATAGGAACAGAGCTGCCTGAGGACTTGGGGACCCAACTGCCATACCAGCATGCAGAGGCCATGGATCATGGACTCAGAGTCCATGATTCACAATCTTTGAGATTTAATGCCTGTCCTGCTGGATTTTGGACTTGCTTAGGACCTGATACCCCTTTCTTTTGGCCTATTTCTCCCTTTTGGAATGGGAATATTTACTCTATGTTTGTCCCATATATTTGTTCCACTTTATCTTGGAAGTAGATAACTTGTATTGGTTTCACAGATGGGAATTAGAAATTTGGACTCACGAGTTAAAACAAGTTAAGACTGTGGAGATAAAATGAATGCATGTGAAAAGGACATGAGTTTTGGGGGGCCAGGGGCGGACCATACCATAGTGAGTGGATTAAAAATGGTGGTCAGGGGTGTGGTTCTGAGAGCTTTAAAAGAAGAGCACATGAGAGTCTTTCTCTGCTCTTTCTATTTCCACCATCTTGCAATGTGAGACTGCTGGGTCACTGTTGCCATCACCAGGTGGACTTTGTACTTCCTAGCCTCAGAAACTGTAAACAATAAATTTCTTTTTTCTTTATAAATTACCTAGTTCCAAGTATTCTGTTATAGCAACACAAAACGGACTAAAACAGGGGCACTGAGGCAGGCCAAGCCAGTGGGTCTCTTCTGTAGGCCTTTCCAGGCCTACCCTTAGTGGCAATGGGGCCCTTAGTAGCAGGCCTGGACAGGACAGCCCTTAGTGGCAGGCCAGGAAAGGCCAGGGGCACTCTTTGTGGGAGGACAGGCCAAGGGGACCCTGGGGCAGGCCATTCAAGGGAGGCCCTTAGTGGCAGGTCAGGCCAGGCCAGGAGGCCCCTACGGGTGTTCTTTCTTTCCTTCCTTCCTTCCTTCCTTTCTTTGTTGGGGGCCCTAGGGAAGTCCAGGCCAGGGGCACCATTAGTGGCTGGGCAGGCCAGGCCAGGGGGGTCTCTTAGAGTCAGGTCAAGCCAGGCCAGGGGGGCTCTTGGGGGATTCTTTTCTTTCTTTCTTTCTTTTTCTTTCTTTTCTTTCTTTCTTTCTTTTCTCTTTCTTTCTTTCCTTCCTTCCCTCCTTCCCTTCCTCTTTCTTTCTTTCCTTCCTCTTTCTTTCTTTCTTTCCTTCCTTCCTTTCTTTCCTCCCCCCTTCCCTTCCTCTTTCTTTCTTTCTTGGGGGCCCTAGGGCCCTAAGACAGTAGGAAAGAAGGAAAGGGCACTGCCTATGCTTTGTTCAAGAGTAATTGGGGCTGGCCCAGTGGCGCACTGCTACAGTGCGCCGCTTGGGAGCGCAGCGGCGCTCCCGCCGAGGGTTCGGATCCCACATACAGACTGGTTCCCACTCAATGGCTAAGCGACGTGCGGGTGCAACACTGAGGGTTGTGATCCGGTTGCTGGTCCCGGTCCGGTACGGGCGCGACACTGAGGGTTGCGATCCGTTGCCGGACACAAAAAAAGACAAAAAGGAAAAAAAAAAAAGTAATTGAATAGCAAACATGCCTTGGAAGCTAGAGACAGCATATGCTCCAGAGAGAGTGTCTGTCCCCCTCCCTCACTGGAGATTTGTTTACATTCCAGTGTAAAGCATGTGCTTGCTCTCACACTCACTCTCAGTCTTTTTCTCTCTCCAGAGAGGAAGAAGGGCCAATATGATAGATGCTCTACAGAAACTCCAAGTCTCATAACTTGTGGGTTCCTCTCCTATGATGCAAACCCACTGCCTGCACCGGAGGCATCTGACCCTCATTCATGTCACCCTGGGGAATTGGGCTCTGGGGAATCTGGACAGAATGTAAGCAATAAACTGACTGACCTTGGACACTAGGGAGAGAGACTAGAGCAGCAGCGGTGATAAAGGGGAGGGGCACATTGCCCTGGTCTGAAGAGTAAGACCTAGAAAAGGAACTGGAAAAACCATCCTCCCTCACTTCTCCCTTCTGTTCTCTGCTTCTTCCTCCCTCTTTTTCTCCTTCCTTCCTTTGGGAGCAAGGGAGCTGAGAATGGAAAACTTGGATCAGGAGCCTGAGAAAGCTGGATAATGGGTTAAGCTGAGCCTTGCTGGAGCAGGTGATGGAGTGATCAACTACCCCTGTTTGTCTGGGACTGAGAGGTTTCCTGGGACATGGGACTTTCCATATTAAAACTGGGAAAGTCCTGGGAAAATCTGACAGGTGGGTCACCCTGGTGGGTGATGCGGAAGTACTTATACAAGGGGTCTTCAAAAACTTTATGGAAAGATTAGTATTATCTTTGAATTCCATTTTTTCACAAACTTTTTGAGGTACCCTCATATCTGTCTTACCAATACATAATGAGATTTCTTTGATTTCCTTACAAGAAAGTTATTTTGATACTAACAAGCTACCTGAGAGCGTGGTGTGAAGAGGGGAACTGTATTCAGCATTTAACTGAGTGCCTCAGATGGTTATGGTCTGCTGCTGGGTACTGGAACAGAGGTGACCAGGCAGGATCCTGGCCTCCAGGGAGGTGTCATGTTACTGAACATTAGATGGAGGAAACCAGCACTTATTGAGGACCTACTGTGGGCCAGATGCCTGGCCAGAAACTTTCAGAAATTTTATGTCTTTTAACATCATATCAGCCCTGTGAAATAGGAGGGGTTTTGTTTTATTTATTTGTTTGTTTTCTTGTTTATTTATTTATTTATTTTTACAGGTGAGGACACTGAGGCTGAGAGGAGCTTTTAACATCATATCAGCCCTGTGAAATAGGAGGGGTTTTGTTTTATTTATTTGTTTGTTTGCTTGTTTATTTATTTATTTATTTTTACAGGTGAGGACACTGAGGCTGAGAGGAGTTGAGAAATTTGCCTAAGGTGACTTAGCAGGAGGCAGAGTTAAAATCTGAGACCAAATGTTCTCACTCCCCATAGTCCAGTGTGCCCTCAGAGAGTCCAAGGCAGGCATCCCAACACTGATTCCAATCCAGAGGTGGATGTCTCTGACCTTGCATAACAGGAAGGAGAAAAGGCCAAGCTCACAAAAGGAGGACATCTCAATTCTGGTTGGGACTGCCGCCGTGCTCAAGTGCTAGACATGCCCTGGGGAGCCTCCCATGCCCTTTTCATCAGCATTCGTGCCCACTGATAGTAGGTGGAAAGGTTTCAGTTTGGGCTCGGCTCAGTCTTAGATCTGTGGGAAGGAGGCAACTGACCCAGGGTGCAATGAGGAAGTTCAGTGTGCTCCTCAGTGAAGGAAGCCAAGGAAACACAGATTGGGCCAGAGTCACAGAGCTCCAGGGCAGGGACCAGTGGAGCAGCTAAGTTCAGGAGTGGGCAAGGCAGTGCTGGGGCGTGGCTGGGTCCAGGGCTGATGTGGTGACGTGAGGCTGGAACATAAGGGTTGTGCCAAGGGCTACTTCCCAGTGATTCAAAACCTTAGGTGCCCAAGCCCGGGTAAGGTGGCAAAGCAGCCCCATGTGGCCATGACCAGAGAAGCTCCTGGGGGTCCACCTCTCTGAGGCCCAGTACCGAGAGCCTGAGGATGTGGCTGGCTCATTTCCTCCTCCTCCCTGCAGCTCTCCCTCAGGAAAGTCTCACCACGGCTTTCCCCTTACTCTTGGCCTGGGTGGTGTGTGTGTTTTGAAGAGAGAGTTGAGGCCCATAAGCTGCCCTGCTGTTCCCTCTGCTCTGAATACTCCTCCCTCTGATGTCCTGGGGGTTCATTTCCTCCCCTCCTTCAAGAGATTCTCAAGTGGTACCTTCTGATCCCCCGTTAATGGCATCATCCCCCATCCTTTCTACGCCAATACTCTTAACCCTGCTTTATTTTAGTTTTTTTCTCAACACTTTTTGCCTTCTAACATACTATCAGATTTACTTATTTATTGTGTTTATTGTCTGTCTCCTCCTTCATCCCACTAGAACATGAGCTCCATGTGGGCAGAACTCTGCCTATTTTTTTCACTGTTGTATCTGCAGTGCCCAGAATAGTACCTGGCACAGACTAGATGCTTAAAAACAATTTGTTGACTAAATGAATGAATAAATAAGTAGGATTGAGCTAGAGGAAAAGGCACCCTGAATGCTAAGTGAAATTTGGATTTTCAGGCTCTCCTGGGGAACTTGGGTAAGTCCCTTTCCCTCTTTGAGCCTCAGTTTCCCTTCTATACGATGAGGGGCTTAAATTGTCAGCTCCCAGCTCTGATATGCTGTACTCTGAGACTCAAACCCTTGCTATTTCTCTGGAAGGGAAGTAACATGATGAAAGCAAAGTTCTAAGGAGAAGAATGGATAAGTCACCTGGGACGTGGATGGCCTTGGGTGGGTGGGTGGATGGGGGGTGCCGGGCCGAGGAGGGCCTGCAGCAGGCCAGCAGTAATCCAAGGGAAGCTGATGAAGAGGGCAAACACAGTGGGAGGAGAGAGGCAGGAGTCTAGATACTGGGGAAATTCCAGAGAAGGAGGCAGGGTTGGTGATTAGATCTAGCGAAGGGAGAGAGAGAAGAAAAAGACTGACTGACCAGATCGGAGCCCGTGGGAATGGAACTCTATGGTATCCTAAAACTCTAGGCCTCAAGTATAGAAATCTTTTGTCTTTTCCTCATCTAAATTCATTCTCCCAGCTCTGTAACAAAAGAGAATACCTTCATGAAGCCCCAAACTAACCAGTTAGATATGAAAGTGGATTTATTTGTGAGTGCTTAATGTCCAGTGTCCAGAAGTTGACAGGTGACTTTCCCATCTCCCAGACACACACACACATGCATGCACGCACACATGCACACACACCTCTCTTTCCAGGAGCCCGGGGAAGCAGGGTGCAGGTAGAGCAGAACTGGTAATCTTGGTTGCTGAAGAGTGAGCATGCAGGCTGTGGTGGTCCCTGGCCAGACATCTCCTGGACTTCTCCTCCCATCTGGGGACTTCTTCTGTCATGCATCTCTCAGCCCTGCAACAGACTGAGTTCTCACCTGGCCTTTCTCAGTCCTGTGTCCCATTCCTGCTTGGTCCGCCCCCAGCCATTGTCAGCTCACCTGTCAGGGTCTGGAGCTGGTGCCCTGGGTTGTTGCCACAGTCCAACCCATTGGCAGGAGGTGTCCCCAGCTTCTGCCTGTGCCAGGCTGCAGCCCAGAGGACGCTGGCTGCTAGAAGCTTGATGAGAAAGGTGCAGGCCAGGAGGAGAAGGATGGAAATGGGTGGGAAGAGGATCTCTCCTTCTGAGAAGCTCCTTGGAGAGACAAGGAGGTCAGGTCAGAGACTTGAGGTGGCCTATAGACTGAAGTCTGCCCTCAGAGAGGGAATGGGGAGAAACCAGGATTTTCTAGGGGCTCAGGATACCTCCTCATCTAGCACCATCCCTGGGATGAGGCTTTGTGGGTCTTGGAGGAGAGCATAGTCAGGAGACCTGAGTTCTAGGCATGGATCTGCCACTTACCTGCTGAGTGCACTTAAACACATTACCTTCCCTTGCTGAGCAGTTTTCTGCTCTACACAGTGATATGCCATGGTGTGTGTGTGTGTGTGTGTGTGTACATGTGTGCATGTACTCAGGGGTTATAATAACAGTGTTTAAACACCAGCACACAGGTGTCAACTAGTCAGAAGTTATTCTGGTCCTACCAAAGGAGCAGGGATCTGGGGATCCCAGTTTTGTACCAAAGCACTGAAACTTTCATTGTTGCTGAATTGTGGGGATGTCTGGGGGCTGCCAGGGGAGGGGCAGGAGGCTGTCTCTTCAGGAATCTTAGAACAGCAGCTCTTTACAAACTGTTATGGAGATATTTCAATATCTTAACAACTGGCACAGTCACTGTAACCCATACTAGCTGGTTGGAGGAGTGTTTAGGCAAGACTATATATCCAGGCCCTTTCCTGCTCTAATTGTCTTAGAATTTGTAGTTCCAGGACCCCCACCCCCACGCCAGTCTCTGCAGGGTGGACCCATCACTATACCTGGAGATGCTGTGCTCCACATGGGCAGCCTCAAAGCTTTCAGACTCACTGGGGGCCCAGAGATGTCCAGTGTCCTGGTGATCCAGGGGGTCTGTGGGAAATAGAGCTGCAGCCCCCGTCCTCCTCGAGGCAGTCCGCCTTAGTGGGGAGAATCCCTGTGGGTGGGGTGAGGCCCTCTGGGCTCTGGTGGATCAAGTCATTAATCTCTCTGAGCCTACATTTAGGAATACCTCCTTAACAACAGGGTTGCCAGGATTCAGTGAGTGCCTAGCACCTCACAGGAGCTCAGTAACGACGACTCCCACCCTCCCATCACACAGCATCTGTGAAGAGCAAGTGGAATAAAGAATGTCTTCTAAATCCTATGTAAACTCTGAAGCTGTCTACTAAGCTATGATTGCTATTATTATATTATTTTCCTGCTACCCTCTGGGGAGTGGGCTGAGCCTTCGAGCATGGTAGGACCGAAAATTCATGTCTCTTTACCCATCCCCCCCATTAGAAAAATGGTGGAGGTGGGGTTTGTATATAGGACTGGCAGTCTCCCCGGGGCCGCCTCACCTCAGGGAAATGCTACCTTGACCTTCATGTCTATGATAAAGGGCCTTATTGAGGGGAGAAATTGTGAAAGGGAGGGTCAGAAAAAGGATCTGTAACCCCAGATCTGTCTTTTGGGACACAGTTTCTCATGGGTAGAGGCTTTCCTGGAGGGTGGTCCCTATGCAAAGCTCAGGGGTGGGAAGGAGCTGCCCTATCTCACCCACACAGGCCTGATAGGAAGATCTGAAGTCAGTTCAGTATCAGGAGGCTTGGAGCAGGGACTTATTCCCTCCCTCCCACCCCCAAGAACTCACAGGAACCCTGTGGAGTCTGCAGGACAGACACATTATCTCCATTAAAGCTGAGGAAGCGGAGGCCCAGAGAAGTGAGGCACATTGCCCAGCACAAGCAGTATTTCTTTCTAGGGTGTTTTTCTCCCCCAGACTGGTACTTAATTTATGTTGATAGGTCCATAGGCCCAGTTGTCTGAGGTAATAAATTAATATCCTCCTACTCCTTAAAGACCACCTATCGTGTTCACATACTAACTGCTGTCAAATGGATAAAGCGGTTTGCGGAAGCAGGGCCAAGGCTAGATCAGATAGTGCCTTAATGCAAATTAGAGAAAGGTGCCCTTCCTGCAGGTAATGCAGCTCTGCACCGGGGAGCACAGCCTGGCAAGAGGAGCCCAGGCTGGATTTTGGCTTCCTTGTGCAGTGAACAACCTGCACAACCATCCATGGTGGCCCTGAGTGGGAGAACAAGACCCACACTGAGAGTTTTCCTAGGATTTCTGAGAGGCCAGGGGGTGGTCTGGCACACAGATGTCTAAAACGTGAGGACTGGCCCAGGCACAGGCCAGAGGTGCTGTCGGCAGCCCCACTCACCCGCCAGCACCTCCACCAGGACCTTCTGGATGGTGTCGGCCTCGCTGCCATGGAGGCTCTGGCACTGGTAGAAGCCTGTGTCATGGGCTTGAAGATCCCGCAGTGTAATGGTGAGGGTGCCACCCAGGGTATTGTCTGTGATGGCTGTGCTCCCGTTCCGCCTCTTCAGGAAGGACAGCAGCCACAAGCCGTGTGTACTGACCACACGCTGGCATGGGCCCTCTTTGCCCAGCTGACGGCACCAGGCCTTGCGTCTCCCCCAGTGCTTCACAGAGTCATAGGGGCAGGAGACCTTCAGAGACTGGCCTGCCACTCCTTGGAACACCGTGGTGTTGTGGGCTTGCGACAACTCTGGGGAAGAGACATTCATTCATTCCTTTATATATTTACCAGATATTTATTGAACACCTACTATGTGCAGTGAACTAAACAGACAGAAATCCTGCCTTTGAGGAGATTAGATTCTTATACAAGTTGGGAAAAGGTGGCATAGCCCAGACATGTGTTTGTGGGAAACTGGGAGCCTGGAAACCTGGGTCCTGGGTCTGGCTTTCTCACTGTCGGACTTGCTGGGCATCTTTGGAGGAGCAACAGACCCTCTCTGGACCTATTTCCAGGGACACTTGGCCTTAAAGTCCCCTCCAGTTCTATTCTGCACATCTTCTCCCTGTCATATGTGACCAGAACCTCTTTTCTCCACTTTCTACCTCAAGAGAGCAGGGCTAGTGACCCTCTCAGGCCTGGGGCTGGTTCCGCGGGGGCTTGGGCTGAGCACCCCTCCCTGCCCCAGCCACGTTTGCTTGCTCTGCAGCCACCCACACTTGTACTAACTCTACATCATGCTCTTTCCTGACCTTTGGCTTCCAGCTTCCCTATTTCTGTGGCTTTGTTCCCCCTTCAGGAAGGACTCGTCTCAAAGCTATTTTGGGGGAGACATGAGACTGCTATTTTGGGGACCTTCCTTGGGATGGGGGAGATGGGCTTAGAGCACCATCCTATTGCCAGGGCAGGGGCTGCGGGGGAATCAGCCAGAGCCCTCTGCTTCCACTCCTCCTCTCCTAGCCCTCCTCCCTTCACCCCACCTTCAACTTATTGGACAGAAACTTGAAAGGTAGGATTGGGGAGCTGGTGGCCTGCTTTTTGAAACTAGGAAGACTTGATGGGCAGTGCTCCTCTTCATACTTCACCTAGTTTATCCCTCAGCCTCCGGACAGACCAACCCACCCCACCTTTCTCCCTCTCCACCTCCAGCTAAGAAGCTGCAGGAACAAGACTCCACTGGTATCACCTGACCTCTAGCCCAGGTTTGAGCATTGCTCTGGGGGAGAAAGAGGTGCCCTTCTCCCAATGGGAAGAGCAGTAGCGTGCAATAATTGGGCATGCCAATCCTCCCCAACTGAGCGACAGAAATCTTCAGCCCCCTCGCCCCCTTTCAGGAGCTGAGGACAAGAGAACCTTCAGAGCATGGGAGGGGGTTCCTCAAAGATGTCAATTACAGCCCTAGGTGCTTTCCTCCTTCCTTCCCTCTCCCACGCTGCCACTCCTCTGAGGCTGGTCTTATGCTTAAGAATTGTGTAATTTTAGGGGCTCTTACCAGTGCCCTCAAAACTTCCCCCAACTGCCAGCTGGTGCCTGACATGCCAGTGTGAGCACCCCTTTCCTTCCCAGGTGGCCAGAGTCCACCAGCCCCTCATATCTCCACTGCAGGGAGAGTCTCTTCCTTCCCTCTCCCACGCTGCCACTCCTCTGAGGCTGGTCTTATGCTTAAGAATTGTGTAGTTTTAGGGGCTCTTACCAGTGCCCTCAAAACTTCCCCCAACTGCCAGCTGGTGCCTGACATGCCAGTGTGAGCACTCCTTTCCTTCCCAGGTGGCCAGAGTCCACCAGCCCCTCATATCTCCACTGCAGGGAGAGTCTAATGGCAGGTTTGGTACCAGGGAGGGAGGAAGAGGGGTGCAGGACAGGGTGCTTGGGCATGCCCAGGGTTTCAACCTCCTTCATACTTTGGCTCAGTGCTCCCCGCTCCCCCAACTATATGCTCAAGGAAGGAGAAGGAAAGAGGCATCACAGGGGAGGAAGGGGATCCTACCTGTGACAAAGAGCAGGATGAGCAGCCGGAGAGGCTCCATGCCCCGTTCCCCACCGAGGGCAGACACAGGGTGCCTTGTGCAAGATTTTGTCTTTCCCTTGGGCTGCAGAAAAGAGAGGGTCATGCACGTCAGGCGCTGCCCACAGGAACTGGGCTCCTGGGGATTGAGCAATAGTCGGGACTGGGGTCTGGCTTTATGATTCAGGGAGAGAGTGTGGGACGGGGGAGGGGAGAGAGGAGGAGTCGGCACTGGCAGAAGGAGGCTGAGGATCTCAGAATGTGAGATCCTACCCGGCTGGGGTTGGTCAGAGTTGGTGGCTGCCTCAGTCTCCCTGCAGAGGAATTTCGCCCAGGGATCACTATCCTCACAGCTGTATTCAAACCCTCTGCCAGTTGCAGTGCCTGCCATCTTCTGGTTCCATCCTCATAAGGGATGAAGAACAGCTGCTCCACTCAGAGGCCAGGACCTTCACTCAGACCCTTCCAGCAGTGTGGCAGCAGTTAAGAACACAGCTCCAGAGCCAGCTTCCTGGCTTCAAGTCCTTCCTTCTCACTTCCTGTGTGTGAAAGCACACGTCCATAACCCCTCTGTGTCTCAGTTCCCAGATCTGTAAAATGGGGCTGATGATAGTGCACGAGGATGACATGTATTGCTACAGGTAAACCACTTTCAAACAGGACCTGGCACACAGTAAGCACCCAAGTATTAATTATTACTATTACCCTAGTTAGCAGAAAAAAGGGAGAATGGGCTGTCCATGAGAGGGAGAATTTTCTTTCCCACCTGGAATTGTCTACCCACATTTAGCCTCCTTTGAACAGCTGGGTGCCTCCTGTGTGCACATGCTCACATGGACATTTATTTTGTGCACACACAGACTTGAACTCCCGACCATCCTACATGACAGGACATGACATTTTCTGTGGTTCTGGGGTGAGGGCATGTTTTCCCACAGGTGTGAGTTCCCATGAAGGGTGATCCAGGCACAGGGACCAGCATGTTCAAAGGCACAAGGGTGTGAAGTGGCCCAGTGAGTCAGGGATGGGGAGGAGGAGGCTTGAAACAATGCTCAGGGGCAGGAAATTGAGTTGCAAAATGTGTAAGATTTATTTGATATGAAGAGAAATGGGAGCATGTGGGAAATTGAGTTGTTCTGGGGGCAGTGGCAGGTAAGGCTGGAGAAGCCCATGGGGCCTGTGGGTTATCAGGGTCTACTTTAGTTTCCTGCAAGCACTCACTTATTTGATCTGTTATTCATTTACCGACTCATATTTACTATGCGTCTATGATATGGACAGAGAATGTGCTTGGACTTTGGGAGTTCATTGTGAACAGAAGACAGTCCTTCACTTAGAGATCCACCTGCCCAGCCTTGGCCTCAGGGCCTGGGGATGAGAAGTCTGAGACCCCCTGAAGATCACTCTCTAGGCACCCTACTAAGGTCTTTCTCTGAAAGTCAGGTTTATTGGCATATAACTTACATACACAAAATTTCACCCCTTTTAGATGTCCAGTCGTATGAATTTTGACAAACTCATACATCTATGTAATAATCATCACAATCACAATGTCTGTGTAACAGACAACATAATACAGAACATTTCTATCGGCCTAAAAAGTTCCCTTGTGCCCCTTTTAGCCAATCTCTTCCTCTCCAGTCCAGTTTCTGAAAATTACTGCTCTGACTTCTGTTCCTACAGCTTCCTGCTCTTTCTAGAATGTCGTATGCATGGAATCATGGAGTATGTAGCCTTTTGAATCTATCTTCTTTTACTTGTCCTAATGCACTCAACATGCATGAAGTTGCGCTTCTCAGTAATTAATTCCTTTTTATTACTGAACAGCATTTCAGTGCACATGTGAGCCACAGGTGGTTTATCTATTCACCAGCTCACAGGCATTTGGGTAGTTTCCAGTTTGAGACAATTATGAATAGAGCCACTATAAATATTCATGTACATATATTTTGTGTGGACATATGTTTTCATTTCCCTTGAATAAAATCCTAGTGGGAGTGCTAGGTCACATGCAAGTGAATGTTTAACTCTATAAAGCTGCCAAACTCTTTCCAAGAGTGGCTGTAACATTCTTGCATCCTTGTCAACACCTAAAATTGTCAGTTTTTTAAAAGCTTTTTAAAGAGGTTTAAGGTAATATCTCATTTTGGTTTTAATTTATATTTTTCTGATGACTAATGATGTTGAACACCTTTTCATTGCTTATTTACCATCTGTATATATTTTTGGTATAGTTCAAATCTTTTGTCCATTTTTTATTGTTTATTATCATTATTATTGAGTTGTGAAAATTTTTTATATATTCTGGAAATCAGTCCTTTATCACATATGTGATTTGCAAATATTTTATTCTAGTCTGTGGCTGGTTTTCTCATTTTCTTAACAGTAAAGTTCAGATGGGTAGAAGATTTTGAAGCTGATGTTCAATCTATTGATTTTTCTTTTATGACTTGTGCTTTTTATGTTCTACTAAGAAATTTTGCCTACCTCAATGTCACAAAAATTTTCTTCTACGTTTTCTATTAGAGGTATTATGGTTATAGGCTTTACATTTTGGTTTATGATCCATTTTGAATAAATTTTTGCATACATTTTGTGCTCCTAAATATAAATTGTAGTTCCTTTTTTTTACTTTTATTTTTTTTAAATATGGATGTCAAATTGTATGAATATCATTTACTGAAATGTTGTCTTTTCTCCATTGATTGCCTTAGCATATTTGTTGAAAATCATTGACATGGAGTGCATCAGGTGTTCTGCAGAGGAGTGAGAGGGGTCCTCCGTGGCCAACAGTGAAAATCATTGACATGAAGGTCTATTTCACTAATCTAAATATCTGTCCATTCTCTAATATCACAGTGTCTTGATTACTTACTGTAGCTTTGTAGTAAGTTTTGAAATCAAGTGATGACTCTATTTCAATATGGTTTTGACTATTCTATTTACTTTGCTTTTTGCCATGTAAATTTTATAATGAGCTTGTTGATTTCTAACCCCTCCAGCATCACCAACAAAAAGCCCACTAGGCCTTTAACTGGGATTGCATTGACCCTGTGGTTCAGTTTGGGGGAAAACTGGAAGCTTAATACCTTTGAGTCTTTCAACCTGCAGAAACAGTTTAGCTTTCCATTTTTTTCTACAGTATCTCTCATCAATGTTTTGTAGTTTTCAACACACAAATCTTGCACATACTTTGTTAAATTACTACATAGATATTTTGTGACATTTGGTGTCGAAATAGAGCTCCCTACACCCTCATAACATACATTAGCTGCTTCTGTAGAATTGCTTGCTTAACCTAAGTAACTCCATTTTACCCTGTCTGACCTGCAGACTACCCCGCCTTCTACATGAGAAGCCATTGACCTTCTCATAGAAAAACATTACATGGGAACAGGAGCCATCCACAGTGAACTATTACATGGGAACAGGAACCATACACAATGAAAAGTTGTATGCTTGATTGCTCTAACGGCTCATTCTTGGCTTCTGTAACCTAGCTCCCTAGCTTGCTTTGTGCACCTGGACCAACCCGTGTGCCAATGGGATGTAGTTTTTGCCTTTAAAAACCCCACAAGACCAAGGCCAGGGGCCACTCTTCCTTGGTTGCTCCTTGGGAGATGGTCGCTGGCCAACTGGAGTGAATAAACTGCCCTTTTCTGCACAAGTGGTGTGTAAGTGCAATTTTTGTGGGAGGGTGCCTCACAACATTTTGGAGGCCCCAGAGAGATTCTTTCTCTCATGAGTATATCCCTCCCTGCACTTATCGCCTAGGAGAAGATAGAGAAGCTGTTCTTCTTCTTCTCCCTGGAGGCAGACGGGGCACTTTGCTCTCTCCCCAGGTAGGTGAGATCTCAGTAAGGGACAGTGCACCAATTGTTGGACTTAGTGGGAGGCTGGATGCAGCATTAAATCCCCTTGTCCTTGGGCTCCTGAGATGTTGCTGGGCCCATTGGTAATTTGGATTTGGGTTTGGGACTTGCAAGTCAATAGGAATTGTGTTTCTGTGTTTCTGTGTTTCTTGTTCATCTTTGTCATTGTGATTGTTGTGTCTGTGGATATCTTAGAATAATTTTGGGTGTGGCCACTTATCTGTCTTTTGTGTGTTGCCAGTTGTGTGTTTTTGTCGGTCACTAACTGTGGTCTTATATAACAAATGGGACAAAATTCCTCCAAACAGGTCTGTGGGACAACCCCCTTACATACAGGTTTGGATTGATATAATCTCTGACAAGCCGTCATGACTAAAAAGGTGCCTTAAAAAAAAGCCCCAAGGTGAATGGAAATAGAACAGCATTTGTGCTTTTAACTAAGCCTTCTCTTCCAGGTTCTCTGAAGAAGAGTGCCTCCCCCACAGCGCCTCCCATACTCTCTGATGCCTCTGACGACCCAATGTGGCTTTAAAAGTTGAAAATAAGCTAAGAGTATTTCCTTTAATAATTTCTTCTCCCTTCACTGGAGAAGATCTAAAAATTGGGGGGAGGTTGATGATAAGTTAAACAGCAGTAGTTCATAACAGCAATGATTTAATCTCTGAATATACTGTAAACAAAGAAAAGAAAAAAATCATATGAAGGGATCTGTTTACCTCCTTGGAGTTGACCACATTCCAAGGCAGAGCTCCCAGCATTTGCATGGAGGCTGCACCAAGGCTTATCCACAATGACATAAAAGAATTTGAAAAACTGTTGTAGGGCTGCTAGATTAGTCCCAGAATGTCAACCTCATTTTCTTTTTTTTTTTTTTTTTTGTCCTTTTTTGAGACCGGCCGCACCACACTCAGCCAGTGAGTGCTGTGAGCACACCGACCATCCCTATATAGGATCCAAACCCGCGGCAGGAGCGCCACTGCGCTCCCAGTGCCGCACTCTCCCGAGTGCGCCACGGGCTCGGCCGAACCTCATTTTCAATTTATTGGCTTTTGTTACTTTATGTCATGCTGACCTTATTGTTAAACACAGGTTTGTTTGCATTCTTTCCACTCATGGAGAAAATGGGGAAAACATTACTTTTAAATTGGTTGAAAGCATTAACTGACAAAATACCTCAGAAAAATGTGAATTAGGCAGCTAAGAAAGCATACTCTGTTCATTACTTTAAAAAAATATACAGCCTT